AATTGTGAGAAAATATTATTTTTGAGCTTAATCATCAAATTCTTAAACTTGAGGGGCTTAAAAGAGAAAGAATTAGGATAAGGATGGGCTGATCTTTTTTCCTTCTTTTTTCTTCCTCAGCCGCGTGTTCTGCTCATTTCCTTCTCCCCTGCACCAAACAAGCCTTCAGCCAAGCCCAGCCACCACCGCCTACTCCTCTTGAAAATTGGTAAGATCTTGGTAAAATTCCCTTCCTTTCTTGTTAAATAACAAGATTTAAAGCTTAAAACTCTCCCTAAACCAGAAATTTCTCAAATCTGCTCTGTTCTCCTGGCCCTGTCCGCGAGCTGCTCTTGCCGGTGAGGGTGCTTTCGGTTTTTTTGGTAAGGGAACAACCATGAAATCATCTCTTAAGCCTTGATTTATGTTGGGTTCACTCTAATTGTTCTTATTCCTTTCAATTTCATGCTAGTTCCTCTCCAAGATCCCGCCAGCCTTCCCACCGCCAGCTCCAATTTCTTTGCTTGCTGAATTTTCTGGTATGTGGCAACTCTTTTAAGTCCAAATTTCATCTAATTGGTGGTTGCCTTGCTGAATTTGGTCCTTGTTGTGGCTGCTCTGTGTTGTCCGAATTTTGTTGGAAAAGTGGGGGAATTTCGGTAGCTTTAAGTGGGTTTTGTTAAATTAAGTGGAAATTAGCTTGAATAATTGTTGTGAAATTGTCTAGAGAAAATCCCGTGTGTTAGCCACTAGATTGCCAAAACCGGTTCTTTCATTTTTGTTGTCTGTGGGATAAGGGAGCTATGTATATATACATATATATATATATATGTATGTGTATATATGTATGTATATATATATATATAATCCGGTTGCAGTGTTAAATTTTGGAGAAAAAAATATAAATAATAAATATGGCATTTTGGAGTTTTGTCAGCAACAATATTGAAAAGGATTAAATAGGTAGTTTTCATATGGTTGTTAATTCTGGAATATTTTGGCTAGATTTCTGATTATTCTATCACCCTAGCTCATGGAGTGAGTTTTCTGCTTTATGCAATTGAGGTAAGTAAATTTATGGTAATGCATGTACAGTTTTTTAAAGCATGTTTTGACTTGTTTTTGAAGTAGTAGCGGGACTAAACCCGTTTTATACAAAAATAAGTATGACTGATTTGAAGTGAAATTTTTATACTTTTTATTAAATTGAGCATGCCTACTTGAAATTTAATGGATTGTCCTGATGATTTGAAAGTGATTGGTGAATTATGATTTTTCTGTTAGCTTCTGCCTGTTTTGTCTCCGATGTGATCATGTTACTAGTGACCCTGCTAGTGGGGGTTAAACGCTAGCACATGTCGACATGTTATTGATAGAACCAGTTCGTTCGAGTGACCCTGCTAGTGGGGGTTATATACCAGCAAATAGTGCGTCTGCCAATGGGCGAATACATTGGTAATTACAGTGCGCCTGCTAGTGGGTGATTTATAACATTGGCCATGACCTATAGAGGAGACGTCTATTTCGTTCCCGTATTGTATCTGTTTTTCGTGATTGCACATGTTGGCATGCTGCAAGTTTAATAAGGAGCACTCCATATTTTACTTACTGAGTTTATCTCATAGTTTTTCCTTGTCCACCATTTCAGGTAGTGAGACCCAATGCATGGGGAGCCCGGAGGAGTGACGACCTAGACGACTAGGCATTATTTTGGACTTAGATTTTTGTAGCTAAGCCGTTAGTCACTCATGCTTGACTTAGAAATTTTTGTATACAGAACTTAGTTTTAGTCATGATTGTATATATGAAGTTAATAATACTGGTAAATATTTGGTAAATAAAAAAGGTTTAGATCTGAATTGTCTGAATTGCTAAGTAAGAACTCAGTAGATTTCGAGCTTTGTACATTTGTGGGTCCCACTTATGAGTGCACAACGTGCACAACGTCTGTCTCGCTTCGGGGTTTGGGGTGTGACAAAAATATAATTGCCTAATAAAAAAAGAGAAAAAAGAAAAAATTATTTACTTAATATATTACTAGTCTAAAAAATTTCCAAAAAAATATTTTTTTTATATACAAATAGTTACACATTATAAAAACTAAAAGTAATATATTACATATTATGTAATGTGTACATGTATAGTATTTTTAAATTAAAAATAAAATATACAACATATACAAAGTTAAAAATAAAACACCCCATAACAATTGAAATATAATTTATTAAATATAATTTTAAAAAAATTAAAAAAAACTATAATATATACTACAAATAATATAAAAAAATACTCAAACATATTTTGATACTATGTAAATTTACTCATTTCTTACAAAAATAAATGAAATGAAATTAGTAAGATAAAATGGAAATAGAAAAGCATTAAAAGAAAACACACACATATATATATAAGCAAAGTTTAGAATTCACCCAACTTTTCATAATAACCTACAAAAAAATTTTAGTAAAACAAAAGAAAATAAAATTAAATCCAACTAATATCACAAATTAGCAAAACAAAAACAAAATATAAATTTAAAAACATAAAAATAGAAAATATAGTCAAGAAGTATAAAGAAAAATGGAAGAAATAAGAGGGAAGGGAAGGCAACAAAACAATAAGAAAGAGGAGGACTTGAGAAAAATGAAAAGAAGAAGAGAACAAAGGGATAGGAAGAGAGGGGGACAACAAAGATGAGGGAAAGAAGAGAAATTAGAGGCATGAGAGAAAGAGGAGAGGGGAGCCAAAGAGCAAACGGAGAGGATGAGAAGGATAGCACAGAAAAGGCAAACAAGAAAATTCAGCGGAGGAGGCAACATGCATGGAAATATATAGGCAAACTTATTTCAAGTTGTAATCAGTCCGGAATATATTAAATTCACATCTACCACCCATAATAAAAATTTCAAATCTTGCGAAATTTTTGGCGGTTTATTATTTTAGATCGTTATTAGTCTGGATAATGCCAAAATTTTTGAATTTTCACATTAAAAATTTGGTAGAAAAGGCGATGAGTGTGTTCGGACCAACATTGGTTTATATTCGGATCACTGCTAGTTCGAACCGAATAAGTTTTCCAAGCCAACAGTGGTCTGAAAATGTTGAGTAGAATCCTTTTTTCCCTTGATACCTCAAACCATGCCTGATTCATTCTACTCCCGTTCAAACAACATGCTTTAAAAAGCTTGAATACCATAGAGTCTAACCTTAAACTAACAATACCAAGCCTACATGCTTGTGGTTTGGCAACAATGTGATATAACCTTAAAGTTAATGATTTTAACTTTACACATTTGTGATTTTGCAATGATGTTGTCTTACGCCACCATGAAGCCATTTCAGGTTGCTAACTAATGGTATTGAGGTTACAGGCGATTATAATAGTGAAGTGCATGTAGCTGGTTTTAGTGGAAACAAATGTTTTCAAAACCAAACCAAACCAACTGATTCAACTGCCACCTAATGGGCAAAACGGGTCGGTTGGATGCTCATACTCGTTTGGGCGGTTGGATTGCCCAAACCCGGTGAACTCGTGAAAACCATTCCACCCGGAAGACCCAATACAGCCTGTCGGGTCAATTACACTATTCTTTGCATTTCTTTTCATATTTTTTTACTGATTGATCTATTTTGTCCCCATTTTTTTTTCAATTTTACCCTTTTTGCCCTTTAACCCATTACAATTTCAGGGTAAAAAACACAAAATCTAAACATAAATTGCTAAAATTAAAAACCCTAAGCTTCCTCCTAATCGAAATCAAATCTTTTGACTTTCTTCTTCTCTAGTTTTACTTCTCCAGCCTCCATCAACTTCGAGTCCAGTCCTCCACTGTGCTTTACTCTCCAATTAGCTTTGTTTCCTGTCTCCATCACCTCTAGTGCTGTGAGCATCATTTCTTGTCACCTAGCACTTGTTTAGTTGCTCCAATCGTGCTCTTTGACCAACTTTTTTTCTAGTCTCCATCACCTTCGACGTCGCCAGCATCATTTCTTGGGTTAAAGTACCATTTTGGTCCCTCAACTTTCCACTTTGGCACCAAAATTGTCCCTCAACTTTAAAAAGTACCAAAATTATCCTTAAACTTTCATTTTAGGTACCAAAATAGTCCTTTTGTTAGTTAAGTACACAGGTGGCACGTTAAGATGCCATAAAATCACTGGCTTTTTAAAGTTTTAAT